CATTATCTTTCCTTTTGGAGCTAAATCTAATCATAGTTCTGACCACAATACCAACAATTTTCTTCTGTGTTTACATGCAGCAAGGAGTTATGGGCGGAGACGAGGTAAATATTTACTAAATGTTTTGCTCGCCAAGTTATGGATAATGGGGGTAGGGGAAGAGAGTGCTTTTCAGTTTATGATGTAATATACATTTTCCAATCTTTGTTGATCAGTTGTCTCTAGTAACTCAATTAATATTCTTAGTTTGCAAAATATCTTAATTTTAGAGTGATTTCCCCCACCCCCCCCACATCCCCAACCAGTATTATTCAGTTTGTTGCTTCTTAATAATGCTCTGAAGAAATAAATTCAGAACCTTTTTCTCATGCTTGCATGTTCTGTAGTTTGCTTTTAATTATGGTGTTATGCTCCAGCGAAGGAAATAAATTTCAGGTTCTTATGTATTTGAAAATGCAAAGGTTAAGTGATTCATTGCTAAACTTAAAAGTATGCGTTTGCATAGGTGAGACAATTTTGTTTTTATTAAAGTCATGAAATTTGATTGGCTAAATCAAACTGTGAATCTCTGTTTTAATAATCCTCAGTATTAATTATCTACAAAAAAAAAAAAGCTTGATTTGGACTCCAAGTTTCACATTTTAACTGCATCTCAACATTCAAGAATCCACTTTTGATTTAACTGAAAGCACTTTACAAAGGGAGTAGCATCCATCCAGAATGTCTATGTAAAAGCATTGCTACCTATTTAGTCTTGGAGAACAATGTAAGTGAGAAATATTAAGGAAGTTGAGCACCAGAAAGTTGCTAACTTTTTAAAATTAAATCAAAATTTAATTTACCATGTAATGTAGTTCATATAGTGCTGTGACTTATGCTGTGGAACCTGCTACATTGTGACCTGAATATGGATCTGAAGTCTGATGGCTTCCTACAGAAGTTAGAAAATAAATTTCAAATTCCAGAGCTTATAGAATGATTTTGTGATACCTTCAGGTTCTTTTTCTTGCACAGCTAATTCAAATCCTTTTCTTGTGATGTAAAAGAAAATCGGATATAAGTCTGATAACTGATGGCTTACTCATGGATCCTTTGGAAAAAGGCTACTGAAAATGTTTTGTTAGATTTTTAATGCAAAATTACAGGTCATGAAAATAAGTGATACAATATTTAGTAAGACCTACTATATTTTCTCTCATACAGCACTCACTGTTTTTCCAAAAATCAGCAATTGGAAATTGGGGCGAGGGGTCTATTTTCAGTGAGGAAATTAAGGTAATAGCACTTTCTGCAGAATAAGCCTCTTTTAGGGGAAGGAGAAAGTAATGCTGCATGTCGTTGTACAGGTGACAGTGCAATGAGCATGTGGGGCTTTAGAAATGTTGGCTGTGGACAATAGCAGCCCTCCACCCTCTATGTGCTGTCCATGTGCAGCGTTACTTTTCTCTTTCTCCTGTGAGGCTCATGCTGCAGAAACTCCCACTGACTCAGCAAGAACCTTTGCCCCAGCACCTGGGATTCAGCTGTGTTGTATTTCTAAAGCAGAGCTGAACTCCAGGTTTTAGGACAGAGGTTCCTGCTGAATCAACTGGATGGGCCCTCAGCTGACTTAGCAGGTGCTGTTGCCCAGGACTAGGATCTCAGTTGACCTGGCTAAAATTGGGCCTTCAGCTGACCACCCAACTCAGCATGAGAAGCAAAGAAGGGTCAGGCAGTTTGGGTCAGCCAGCAGCACCTGTGGTATCTTACAACTAGGGGGTTAACAGAGCAGCCACAATGTTTTACCTCCCCCCACCCCTCTGAAGCTGCCTGTGTTTCCCTAGGATAATACTATAAAGAAAAGATCTTTTTTTCTTTATTCTGCCTTTCAAAAACAAAGTGTGTATGTTATTCAGGGGCATATTGTATGTAAGAAAATATAGTAGTTGAATACAATAATGCCAGACCCCCAGTAAGATTCTATCATTCTGAGTCTTGGAATAGTAGGCTATTCCAAGATTTAACTTGCAGGATTTAGAACAGTTTTGTTCTTAGGTTAATTTTTTTTTTAATGAACCAGAATTACCTTTTTAATTTTTTTTCCTTATCCCTTAAAAGACTTGTTAAATAAAGAATTAATAATTGATATGGCAGTTAAGATATTTTGATATGGTTTTTATTGCTTATTGAATAGTAAAGTAAAACAGTAATGGTGATATATTTTTGGCTCAATACCATGTATTTCAGGATCCTTGACATTAAGACTTATTTCAATCTTTTTTTGTTTATATGTGGCTGATCAGTTGGAAATAAAGCATACTGTGTATTCATGGTGAAATATGACTTGAATTAATTATATCATGTATATTTATTATATGATTTTCAGGGCATAATTTTAGTTCGCGTTGAACTGTGTGTGAGAGGGGGGAATTAAAGTAGATGCATTAGAATGTTGGTATGATGTTCAACAGGCGCATAGTTTCCATGTTTCTTAACTGAGGCAGTAAATCATGGGGAAACAATCCATACTGAACTTGAATTTACATTTTAAAGAATTGTACGGGGGTTTCATAACTAGAAAAATCTATCCTTTGTTTTTAAATTTAAATATTTGCCACACCAAGGAACAACTCCTAGTTACATGGCAGAAAGTCAGCAAAGTGAACCCTCACATACATTTGTGCATGTCTTTATTGCTCATATTTCACACTGTGTTACTGCAATTACCAGTAAAAATGATTGCAGTCAACAAGAGATCTAGAAAAGGTGGTACTCTCTCAGTACACGAAAACTGAGAAATAATTAATTATTTTTAAAAACTTAATTGTTAGTTCAAAAAAATTAAGATTCATCAGCACTCTGATGGGCTAACTGTAGTGAATATGTATTGACAGATTTTTTCATACCAGACTCTTTTCTTTCTGTCTGAGATGTAAAATCTTGCTTATATAGCAATTGGAATACAGGACTGTGTTTTAGTTTTTATTCATATATTCCTTTTGAATTTAAGAGTGAGGTGCATCAATTTTTCTCTTTGTTTTAGTGAGTTGACATAGTAAATGCTAAATACCATGACATCTGTTTTATGCTTTTTTTTTCAGAACTGAGTCTACAGAGTACATTGTTGTCTTTTTTTTTTTTAAACTCTAACAGTGATAAACAAACTTTTTTCTGTAGAGTCTGTTCAGGACATCTTGGTTGCTCTTAATTGTTGAACATTTTAATATGATGGTAATGCTCAGAAGTCATCTATTTATTTGACTGGGCATGGAATTCTGATGGATTATAGTGAACAGTGGCCAGGTGACCAAGGGCAGTGGGACACATGGGGGCACTGGGAATTTGTGGCTGTGATCATGCTGCTGGTGTGATTTGTGCAGCTGCAAGCAGCTGACCTTTTTTCTGCTCTCCATCAAGTTGATGCTCATAGTGGCTGCCTTCATCACCCCACCCTCATTACACTACCAATGTTGAGATTAGGATTTCTTTTGTCTTGCAGAAGGCACACTGGTTAGTGTCTCATGCAGCTTCCTTAGCCTGATGAAGCATAAATGTTCTAGAAATCCATTCTTTTCATCCAGTAAGCAAGTTACTGAATGATTCTTTTGGTTTACCCCCTATCTATTTGCAACGTTCAAATACTGTACTCTTATCTTTGTTCTTAATACCTCCTTGCATAAATCCCTCACCATGTGAAGAAAACATGAGACTTTTTAGAGCCAGGAGGGAGGTTCCATATACACCTCTCCAAGATGCAAGACCAGCTTCTTTAACTCAATTCAGGGAAATAAATTCTGAATCCAATATTTTTGAGAGTGAAATCAGAATTTAAAACAGGGTACTAGGTTGTGCTAGCTATACTTTTCTTCGTGTAGAACGTAAGAATTTTGGTAGTTTATCTGCTTAATAAAGACTTCATATATTTTAATTAGGCTGCTTACTTCACCTAACTGCCCATCTTCATAGTCTCCTATGCTTACTTTGTCATCTGCCTCTGCTCAGACCAGGCCTGTCCTCACATTTGATGGTGTGAGGCTTTAGCTCCACTTAAATTAGGTTAAAACACTCCAAAATATCTTGGAAAAAAACATTTTGTAGCATTAATGGAATGGCCTGGATGTTGGGTTTTTTTCACATTAATTTAGAAAAAGCAGTGAAAATAGTTTTTACTGTAAACTTCACAATATCGATTTCACTACATCCTAAATTGAAATATATTTTAGAGTTCTACACTTAACAATAATAGACAATGTTGTCCAATAACTTCCTTGCCTTTTGAAAGCCAGCCTTAATTATAAAACGTGGTTTTCAGGTTCATTGCTAAAACCCTTATCTCATGTTAGAAGAAATACTTTTTTCTCCAGAATGACTGCTCAACTGTAGCTTTTAAGAAATGTAAACAATGCTAATAGTAAAATGCTTGCTTGAATTGGCAAAGAGGGAATACATTTTGTAGAAAGGCTGTGCTTAAGGTGAGGAGACTTTTACAGGTGAACTACTCTAACAGAGAAACTTATTGCAATTCTGTGCTTCCTGATTTAACTAGAGTGGTAAAGGGATAATGGAATTATACACTTAACACACAAATTATCATGTGCTTTTATTGCACTGAAAAATGATCCACCCATCTACATGGAAATGGACCCTTTTATATAAAAAAATGGCTGCCGCTGTTTCTTCACATGCTTGTTAACTAATTTTATAAACTAGTTGGTGATGGGCATCAACTTTTGAAAGACTTGCTACTAGGACTCCTCTTCCATATGTAACCATTCATAGTGTTTACTTCTGTCAACAAACTAACCCACAATGATTGTACTTGTTATGGTAGGAGACACAATGGGTGGTTCTATTTACAGAGTGAGGCCCTTTTGAGTGAACTGCAAATTCTGTTAAGCTAAAGAAAAACAGAAGACTGAAGCAGGCTTTGTTTCTTAGTGGAATATTTGCTTTTCCAGAAAAGAATTTTAACTACAGAAACTCAA